GCTTTATTTGCTGCCTGCAGGTGTTACTACGACTGTATCCATGTACACCAAAGGTAAATGCTGGGTCCCAGTGCTAACTGACTGAAGAGTTAGGACTAAAGGTCACTTTATATATTCCAGGCTTCATACTTTAGATTATCAGGTAAGGTGCATAAGCCATTAGGTGGGGAGTCACCTTAATATTAGGCATTGGTTGGCAATCACCTAATTTGGTTAAGTGTGAACACATTGGCACAATTGATATCCGCTTTATTGTAAGTACTGCACTATATATGATTTTTGTTTTGTTGGAGAGCAATTCACCACGTATGAAGAATAACCATAAAGGAGGAATTCACAAGATTCATCTCCCCTTACAAAGCAAAGAATTTTGATTGGAGTGTAAGAGTAAGAATTTTGGATTGAGAGTGGTGACACATGATGAAGTTTTGGCACTATTAAAACACTTTTATGTGAGTTTAATACTATTTTATTTACTGCGTTTTAAAAAGATAATGCACTATGTGCGGTTTATATACTTTTTTTGCATGGAGGAGTTAATACTTTTTGGAAAGGAAGAGAGAGCACATCATCTTGGTGATATACAGTATGAATAGGGCACGCAAATATTCACTGAGAACCTTGGAAGAATAAAGGACATAGTATGAATTTCTACGGAATGTGTTTAAGGAGTTTTGATTGAATATCAATTTGGATGCTGATCAATCATTTATATCTTAGCTTCCTAGGGGGGAAGTAGTACCTTGGCGACTGTGAACTTCACTTGTTTTATTTGGATTTGTTTATTGATTTTATTGAGTTATTGAGGTTTGTCCTGGCTTTGGATCTTATATACAAACGTTCATCTAGTTCAACCATAAAAATTCAAAAATAAATTTAAAAAAAAAAGTTATAATCCTATACCCACAGTTGATCCAGAGGAAGGCAAAAAAAAACCCCAGGAAAACATGAAATCATTTGCTCCCGCAGGGGAAGAAATTTCTCCCTGATCCCCCGAGAGGCAATTGGATATTCCCTGGATCATCTTTACCAATAAATGTTAGTATTCAGTTATACAGTTGCAAGAAAAAGTATGTGAACCCCTTGGGATTACGTGGAGTTTTGCATGAATTGGGCATAAAATGTGCTCTGAATGTCATCTAAGTCACAACAATAGAAGAACACAGTCTGCTGAACATAATACTACACAAACATTAGATGTTGCCATGGTTTAATTGCACATAACATGTAAACATTCACAGTGCAGGGAGGAAAAAGTATGTGAACCTTTGGACTTAATAACTGGTTGACCCTCCTTTGGCAGCAATAACCTCAACCAAACGTTTCCTGTAGTTGCAGATCAGACCTGCACAACGATCTGGAGTAATTTTGGACCACTCCTCTTCACAAAACTGTTTCAGTGTAGCAATATTCTTGGGATGTCTGGTGTGAATCGCTCTCTTAAGGTCATGCCACAGCATTTCAATCGGGTTGAGGTCAGGACTCTGACTGGGCCACTCCAGAAGGCGTATTCTGTGCTGTTGCAGCCACTGTTTTGTTGAATTACTTGTATGCTTTGGGTCATTGTCCTGTTGCATCACCCATCCTCTGCTGAGCTTCAGTTGGCGGACAGATGGTCGTACGTTTTCCTGCAAAATGTCTTGATAAACTCTGGAATGTATTTTCCCATCAATGACAACAATCCGTCCAGGCCCTGAGGCAGCAAAGCAGCCCCAAACCATGATGCTCCCTCCGCCATGTTTTACAGTGGGGATGAGGTTTTGATGTTGGTGTGCTGTGCCTTTTTTCTCCACACATAGTGTTGTGTGTTCTTCCCAAACAACTCAATCTTGGTTTCATCTGTCCACAGTATATTTTGCCAGTAGTGCTGTGGAACATCCAGGTGCTCTTTTGCAAACTTTAAACGTGCTGCAATATTCTTTTTGGACAGCAATGGCTTCCTCCGTGGTGTCCTCCCATGTACTCCATTCTTGTTTAATGTTTTCCTTATTGTAGATGTGTCAACAAAAATGTTAGGAAAACTCATACAAATGAGCGCAGAGAGGCCACTCCAGGTGGAAACATGTGAACAGTTAATCATGAGCTCACCACTGCTGCCTTGTTAATCATATGCATGATGAAGAGAACTGGAAAAAAAGGCGCTGTGGAAAATGCTCTCAGACAAGCACCTTAGTGGAGGTGCATCTTTATTGGGTGAGATAAAGTAGCAAGTATAATAAAATTAACCAGCCTGAAGTGGACAGTGTGATTCCAATGGACGGCCCGTCCGCTCTGAGGGGAGCTGAGATCAAAGAATGCTCCTGTCGGCTTCAAATCACGTGGTGTCAGCGTACCAGCGTCCTGGGTGGTGTCACCATGGCAAACAAGACTTGACAAAGCGCAACTGCGCGAAACATGTCGTCTTGGTAACCCCACATATGCTCCCAGCTGAAGCCAATGCCGGACACTGCCTTCGTTTGCCATGGTGACACCACCCAGGACGCTGGTACGCTGACACCACGTGATTTGAAGCCAACAGGAGCATTCTTTGATCTCAGCTCCCCTCAGAGCGGACGGGCCGTCCATTGGAATCACACTGTCCACTTCAGGCTGGTTAATTTTATTATACTTGCTACTTTATCTCACCCAATAAAGATGCACCTCCACTAAGGTGCTTGTCTGAGAGCATTTTCCACAGCGCCTTTTTTTCCAGTTCTCTTCAACAAAAATGTTAGCATGTGCCAGAGATTTCTGTAGGTCTTTAGCTGACACTCTGGGATTCTTCTTTTTTAAAGCAATCCACTGAGCTGGCCAGAACCAACTATTGCGGGAGTGTATTCCACATTTTCACAGCTCTCACTGTGAAGAAACTTTTCCGTATTTGGAGATTACATCTCTTTTCCTCCAGATGTAAAGCGTGCCCCCTTGTCCTCTGTGATGACCTGAGGATGACTAACTCCACACCGAGTTCACTATATGAGCCACTGATGTATTTATACATGTTGATCATATCCCCCCTTAATCTCCTCTTCTCAAGAGAGAATACATTTAATTCTTTTAATCTTTCCTCCATGCCTCTTATCAGTTTGATTGCCCTTCTCTGCACTCCAGTTCCCCAATATTCTTTTTGTGAATTGGTGCCCAAAACTGAACTGGATATTCCAGATGAGGTATTATTAATTATTTGTGCAGGGTTAAAATGATCTCTCTCTCTCTCTCTCTGGTGTCTATACCTCTTTTAATACAAGATAGGATTTTGCTCACTTTAGAAACAGCAACTTGGCATTGCATGCCATTATTAAGCTTGTGGTCTACCAGAACAGCCAGATCCTTCTCCACCATTGATTCCCCCAGTTTTACCCCCCCCCCCCCAGTATGTATGATGCATGCATATTGTTAGCCCCAAGTGCATAACATTTATCAACATTAAACATAATTTACCACATAGTTGCCCAACTAAATAGTGCATTGAGGTTGGCTTGTAAATTGGAAACATCCTGTAAGGACATTATTCCACTGCAAAGCTTGTTGTCATCTGCAAAGACTGAAACAGTATTTTTAATCCCAGACCCTATATCTTTATAAATATATTAAACAGTAAGGGTCCCAACACTAAACCTTGGGGTACACCACTGACAACCCTAGACCATTCAGAGTATGAATCATTAACCACTACCCTCTGAATATGATCATCTAGCCAGTTTTCTATCAATTTACATACTGATTTTTCCAAGCTGGTAGACTTTACTTTACACATTAGTCATGTTGGGGAAACTATAACAAACACTTTTGCAAATCCAAATATACTGGGTCCACAGCCACCCCTCTGTCCAAGGTTTTGCTTACCTCCTCATAAAAAGAAATCAAATTTGTTTGACAACTTCTGTCTTTCATGAATCCATGCTGTCTGTTGCTTAAAATATTTTTTTCCAGCAAGAACTCATCTATGTGGTCTTTTATTAAAGTCTCCAGTATCTTCCCAACTATAGATGTCTATAATTGGTAAAGATTTTGATCCCTTTTTAAATATAGGCACCACATTGGCCTTGCTTCAATCCAGTGGTACTATGCCAGTCATTAAAGAGTCCTTAAAAATTAGAAAAAATGGCCTTGAAATGACAGAGCTCAATTCTTTAAGGACCCGTGGGTGTCTGCCATCCGGTCCAGGTGCTTTATTCACCTTTATTCTGTCTAAATATTTCTGGATCATATCAGTTGTGAGCCAATGTGTCAATACCATGTCCATTATGGACAAGAGCTCCCCCATGCTCCTTTGTATACACAGAGCTGAAGAAGGTATTTAATAAATTTGCCTTCTCTTCGTCCACAGTCACCCACTCTGGATTATTTTGTAAAGGGTCTACAAGCTCGGACCAGATCATTTTACTATTAATTGATTTGAAGAATTTGGGGGTTTTGCTCTGCTATCTTTTGCAATCTGTCATTCGTTTTCAATTTTTGTGGCCTTGTTTTCCTGTTTACATATTCTGTTATATTCTTTGTAATGTTTAAACAATGATAGTGTTCCTTCATGTTTATATTTAATAAAAGTTCTTTTCTTATTATCTATACCTTTTTTAATGTTGGCCATAAGCCATATAGGTTTGATTTTTAGCCTTTTAACCACTAGCCTACAGGGTACTTATACCCTCTTCCTGCCCAGGCCAATTTCCAGCTTTCAGCGCTGTCACACTTTGAATGACAATTGCGTGGTCATGCAACATTGTACCCATATGAAATTTGTATCATTTTTTGAGACAGATAGAGCTTTCTTTTGGTGGTATTTAATCCCCTCTGTAAATTATGTAAATAAGTGATTTTTCTCCTTCACTGATGTGCGCTAATGAGGCTGCAGTGATGGGCACTGATAGGCTGCACTGATGAGCACTGATAGGTGGCACTGATGGGAACTGGTGAGGAGGCACTGGTAGGTTGCACTGATGGGCATTGACAGGCATCACTGATGGGCACTGAAAGGCAGCACTGATACATGACACTGATATATGGCACTGATAGGCGGCAATGATAGGCAACACTGACTGGCACTGATAGGTGGCACTGACTGGCACTGTTAGGCAGCACTGACTGGCACTGTTAGGCGGCACTGACTGGCACTGATAGGCAGCACTGGCTGGCACTGATAAGCGGCACTGACTGGCACTGATAGGCGACACTGACTGGCACTGATTGGCAGCACTGATAGGTGGCACTGATTGGCATTGATAGGTGGCACTGACTGTCACTGATGGGCGACATTGAAAGGCAGCTCAGATGGGCACTGATATGTGGCATTGATGTGGCACTGATGGGCACTGGCACGTGGCACTGATGGGCACTGGCACTGATGAGCACTGACAGGTGGCACTTCTGGGGCCACACTGATCATCAGGGCACACTGATCATCATCGCTGCTCACTCCCTGAGCTGTGCATGCACAGTGAGAATGGTAGGACGTCATATGACGTCCTATCAGAACGAGAGAACCACCTTGCGCCCGTCATTGTACTATAGGGCGGGCGGAAGGTGGTTAAACTTGTTGCCCACGGGAATATTTTGCAGTGTGTTCACATACAGTCTTTTTGAAGAACTCCCATTTCTGTGTTGTGTTCATTGATGCCAATATTCCCTCCCAGTCTAAGGCTGGCCATACACTATACAATTTTCTGTTCAATTTCTGCCCAATTTCCTTTAAATTTACCTTCAACTAAGGACCTGCTTAACTGGATACAGTTGCAAGTGTTGTTCAGGTTTGACCTCATATTATATGGATTTTGGTAAATCTAAAGCAATTTTCTAATGAAAATTGTATAATGTATAGCCAGCATAAGTCTTGGAGAGCAGCTCTCAGCCTTGGAAAATTAGCTCTCTTAAAGTTGAGCGTTTTTATTTTTCCTGTATGTGCTTGTTGTTTACAGCTAATAAATGAAACCATGTTATGGTCATTGCTACCCAGATGTTCTTTTATATGGACATTCGTAATAAGCTCTGCATAGTTTGAGATTACCAGGTCCAAAAGAGCATCATTCCTAGTAGGAGCCTCTATGAATTGTACCATAAAATTGTCCTGTAGTAGGTTTATACATTTTTGCCCTTTAACTGTTCCTGCAGTACTCCAGTCAATTTCCGGGTAGTTAAAATCCCCCATTATTATCACTGTTCCAGCCCTTGTAGCCCTTTCGATGTGTTCAAGCAGCTGAGTCTCCACCTCCTCATTAACACTGGGAGACCTATAACAAAAACTCCAATTATTACCTTTGTAGTACGCACCCCAATGTGCAGTTCCACCCATAATGCTTCAGCTTCATCACACTCTCCATCAACTAGGTCCTCTTTCACACTGAGATCACTTCTCACATAGAAACAGACACAAACACTTTCCCTTTTTACCTTGTCTCTCCAAAAGAGAACATAGCCGGAATATTAATGGCCCAGTCATGTGAAGAATGAAGTCAAGATTCAGCAATACCAATTAAATCATAGTTCTCTTCATGTACTAAAGCTTTCAACTCACCTATTTTGGCTGACTTCTGGCATTGGTGATCAAATACTTTTATTCATTGACACCTTGTGCACATGTATTTTGCATATTTTTTTATTTTCGTACAAATGGTGCGAATTCCAATGGTTGTTTGTAACATGAGAACCTTCTTATCACCTGCCATAGCCCTCCCCCCATCTTTCCCCATTCCACCCACCAATAACTACTGACCCCTATCTGATATGTCTGCCCCAATATAATCTAATTCTCCCTCCCCCCTCAATGCTAGTTTAAATACTCCTCCAGCCATCCTATAAACCTCTCCTCCAGCACAGCAGACCCCCTTCCATTTAGGTGCAAACCATCTCTAGCATATAGGCTGCACCCCAATGAAAAGTCAGTCCAGTACTCCAGAAACCCAAATCCTTCCCTCTTACACCAGGTCTTTCGCCATGCATTTAGTTCTCTAATCTCCCCCTGTCTTTCCTGAGTTACGCATGACACAGGTACTATTTCAGAGAATATCACCTTGGAGATCTTTCCCTTCAACTTGCAGCATAGTTCTTTAAATTGATTCTTAAGGAGCCTCCACCTTCCATGTATTCTGTCATTGGTTTCAACATGAACCAAGATAGCTGGGTCATGCCCAGCCCCTCCCAGTAATTATCAACCCAGTTCACCACATGCCGAATCCTGGCACCAGGGAGACCGCAACCTATTCGGTTGAGGTGATCCTGGCGACAAATTATTTTATCAGTCCTTCTGATCATAGAATCCCCTACTACCACCAACTGTCTAGGCCATCCTGCACTACCCTCACACCCCTCCCAGATGGTCTGCCCTCTCGGCTGTTAGGGATAGCAGTGACAACCAGGGCTGCCACCCCTGAGCTTGCCACTCCCACATCTTCACCCAACTTGGCAAATCTGTTTGGGTGCTCAAACCCAGGGCTGGCCTTCCTTTTCTGTGAGCTCCTACCACTCCCTCTCGCTACAGTAACCCATCTTCCTACCTGATAACCCTGAGTAGCCTCTCCACCTCCCACATCAATCCCATTAGCTACCTGCTCAGAGTTCAGAAGACCCCTTTCAAGGTTGTCGTTTCTGCCCAGTGTTGCATCTTGCTCCTCCAGATCTCTAATGTGAGCTTCCAGAAGGGCAACCCGCTCACATCTGTTGCAGCGGTATCCATCGTGGAGCTGTTGCTCCATTGTTGCATACATGCAGCATACTGTGCAGTGCACAAAACCTTCACCCCTGCTAGTGCTCATTATCCCAGTTACAATATTACACAGGTCTGCAAAAAAATGTTGTTTATTCCACATAATCTTTGTTTTTTGGTGCGCTGAATCCGAAAATGACCTCCATTTTGTCATAGGACATCATGTTTCCTGACAATTTATGTAACTATGTTAAATAAGGCAATACCTCAAAATAAATGGAAATAGACTTATAAAATTAAAGTTTTATTACAATTTTTCATGAAAATCCTTTTTTGAACTGAAATGAGCTCACCTACACACACTAAACTCGATTCTTTTTCCCTGTGAGGCTCCTCTTGGTGCATTTACGCTTGTGAGTAGCATCTGGAATGTCTTTTTGAAGCATCCAATAGTAGTCTGCCATCATTGTAATGCTCCATTTTCCCTGGTATCTCCTTTCCATCTCTTTAATGGCTTGGTGGAATAGTTCACCTTGTTCCTCACTCACAGCTCCCAAATTTTCAGGAAAGTAGTCAAGGTGGGACTAGAGGAAATGCACTTTCAAACTCATCAGGCAACCTAAAGCTTAAAATGCTTTCAGCATTCGTCCGACGATCTTTTTGTAGTGAGGATCTTTGTTATTGCCGTAAATATTTCTGTACGACTTCTTTTGGTATTGACAAACTCTTGATCAACTATATGCCTTCTAATGTCTGGTCTGACGAACACACCTTCCTTCAATTTTGCCTCAGACAGGTCTGGAAACTTGGTGACCAAGTATTTGAAGCATTCTCCATCTCTTGGAAGTGATTTTACGAATTGCTTCATCAATCCCAATTTTATGTGGAGAGGTGGTAGAAGAACTTTATGGGAAGGTACCAAAGTTTCTCGGAGGGCATTTTTTTCACTGACTGTTAGCACCCTCGGCTGCCAACTCTTCTTGGTCCAGTGATTTTTTCGGTCTCGACTGTCCCATAAACACAGAAAACAAGGGTATTTGGTATCCCACCCACTGGATTCTTCAGGAAAGATTAACCCCTTCTACCATTAGAAGCACAGACTCAGGGCTGAGGCTTACACATACAGCATGCTACTGAGTATCCCAGTAGTCAGAATGTCACTCAGAGCAGCACTTGTATTCACGCCCTTTGCAGGGGGGAGGGGCAGAGATTGTTTACCTGCAAATAAAAACAAAGGGCCAGAAGAGAACTAGGGAAATGAGGAAATAGAATTTTTTTTCCCTTAAATGGACTTAAGTTAATTAATTAATAGTAATTTGGACTTTAACATCCATCCCTAGCGGTATGATTATTTCAGATTTTTGGTGCTGAAAGCGGTACCATTTTTTTTGCATGGAAATATGTATTTTTTTTATTGTAGGCCTGTAATTTAGGAATAACTCACTGAAATCTGTCCGAACAAGAGTCTAGTAAACATTCCGGGTAGGATAAAACTTGAAACACGAAATCATAAATTATAATTTAATAAATAATCATAAAAAATAACAATATAATAATAATAAATTTAATTCATTAATATAATCAAACCAAAAACACTGAAATTTGAAATATAGCGCCAAGTTAGCACATCGCTGAGCAAAGTTGCAGAATCGTTTTCAGTGTCTGATGACGAATTTCCCCACGAATCATCATTCAATTCTGCAAGTGGTTCTGATTTACTATCGCTGTTCTCTAGCCAGTCTAAAACCGATTTTGACATAAAGGGACACTTTTTGGACGCCATGGACTTTTCTAAGTTTCCAGGCAGAAAGAACAGTCAAAATGCAGGCAGGGCATAGGACAAAGCAGTAGGGACAAAATGTATGTGAAATGCTTTGATACAGTAATGTTTTACTATGTAATAATCGTTTTAAAAAAAAATTTCATTTTTTAAAATTTTCAAATTTGCTGCCGGTTCCGGCGCCCATACATCCCAACGTCACAGGGACCGGAACACGGAAGCCGGATGCCGGTATCGGCCGGAGAAGATGGTCGGGGACGCTGCAGGGGACGCATCGTGGGAACGAAGGACAAGGTGAGCACTGCAGGGAATCCCTGTGCAACGCTGCATGGTAAGCCTGAGTGTAGCTCGGGGGGGTTACCGCTTTTGGTACTGAAACTCTACCCCGAGCTACACTCGGCAATATCGCTAGGGAGGTAAAATTTGGTTAAAAACCCATAATATAAAAAAAATACCAAAAATTAAAAAAATTTTGCTAAATTTGAAGACAATTTTGCATTTTGTGGCAAATCATGACATCTAGGAGTTTTTTCAATATTTTATTTGTTTTCAGCACACCAAAATACATGGAAATTTGATGAAAATAATCAAATAGCTTTTTAGTCGCAGACCTGTGTTATTATTGCTAACAGGAAATATCAGTTCTCATTTACAGGTTAGAAGACTCCTGTTTCCAACTCCAGTTTTTTAACTCCATTTAATCAATGGTCCACCATATGAAAGGTGCAGAAAGCAAAATAAAGGCAAGCTCAGAGTGAGCGCCACAGAAAGTTTTATATAGTATCTGTAGCACCTATGACCAATTAACCCCTCCCCTTAATCAGCAGACTGAAGGAAGGAAAGGAAAGGAAAAACAATGCTATTTAGAAAAAGTGATTTAAAAAAAAAAGCTACTAGCAAGACCCCAAAGAAGAAAATAAAATAAATACAAGCATCAGCAATCAA